GCCTTACGTATTAGAGAAGCCCTATTCTAATCAAATAACACACTACCAGGGTTATTTCAGATTAGCTCGCGTATCCCTGTAACACAAATCTAATCGTGCCAGTTGTCACTATTTCAGGGCAATTAAACAATTACAGATTTAATGCCCTAATTGACAATAGATTACCAAATTAACTAATTATCCGGATCTAAGACAATCAATCAATTAAATAACTATAAGCACTGCGATTAGGGAATATGAGAATACCAATAAATAAAAGAAAATGATAAAATTAAATCGATCTTACAATTTTTAGGCGCACCAAAACCTCCGTTGTTCCTTGACTAGAAAAAGGGATTTAGTTCATCCCTAGTGAGGAACACCCACACAAAATTGAAGAGAGAGTAGCGGCCATTGTCTCCGAAATTGGGAGAATTCAATTCATTTCAATCAATGGGAAAGGCAAGCTACAGCAATTGATCCAATTCTTTCTAGTTGTCTAGACATACGAGAAGAAAACTACTAAGGATGAAAGGCAAAAGTCAAAAGAGGAAAACTATAGGGAATCATTCAATTCTTCCAGTGCCCCTGACATTCGTGCTGAGCAAAGAGCTACCAAGAATCAAAAAGAAAAGTCAAAGCTTAAAAAACTCCAGGGTAGTGCTTCTCCTCTACTATTTCTATTTCCTATCTAAGTAGTCAACTACTACTGTGCGGCGGCTCCCGTGGAGAGAAAAACTTCAGCCTTTCATTCTTTTTTCAATGCTATCTTCTGCAAATTACCAAAAAGGGTCGCGTCTTCATATTCCAAAAATGCCCCTGGACGCCTGTTACTTGAACTCTTCCCTGAGGACTGCCAAATTGGCACTTGTTATGGTATTTTCGTTCTACTCCCTGTAATAAATGTAAATTTTCAAAAGTGAGTAGAATGTAACAATTAATCCACATCAGATCAGGTAATAGGGGAAATTAATAATAAAATAAATAATAAAATTGCAACCTATCACTCTTTTATGCAGAACTTGCTTTGGTCACCCAAGAAAATCTTGTGCCTTTGGTTATTCAGGCACAAACAAGATATTAAGTCAAGCTTCCATTGAAGACATGTAAGCATCACCTATTTATGGTAATGTTTATGAAGTACCTATAACTTTCAATCAAGATACAGAAACCTAAGAAAGACGCCAGACAAAATTGAAAAGAACAACTTCATGCAATTCTTCTTTTTGGTCAAGCGACTACCAACATAAGATTTAATCAACATCATATAGACCCAGTAATTTTGGAATAACTATGAATCTTAAAGTAAGAGCATCATTCTAGACATACGATTTTTAACTGCAAAAAGAGAACAGGCAAGCTCATAAAATCATGTTGTATCTAAAGGAGCTAAGATACAACTTCAAGAAGGGTGGTGAGTAGCTTGCAGAGGTCAACTAACAGACAATAAGCAGTCATAAAGACAGACTAACAATTTTCTGCAACTAAATTGCAGCTAATTTGAGAGGCAAGCAGTATGAGACAGAATAGCAAATGAGGTCCATAATTGATGAATTACTACCTCATGTCATGGCCAACAGGTTGAAGGCATCACCGTAGATCTCAGGCTTTGGCCATCTCAGTCACTTAGAAGTGAAAGAGAGTGTCATTCTATATGTTTGTCTCCAATTTGAAAATGATGTGGTTGAAGAAGGAATAATGGGATATTGATACGTATGGCAGTAATTAAGCCATTGAGGTCTCCCGTGAGCTCTGAGCATAACACCATTGCAAAATAGAATACTCAAAACTCAAGACAGTGTATAGAAAATCATAAAGCTAACTAGAAAATCCGGGTAATTGCAGGACATTTCTGTTCAACAAATCTTACAGAAAGTTAGAGAGAGAGAGAAAGAGAGCGAGAGATTTTGTCATTGATATCAAACCTAAATTAGTAAGCAGATACAAAATCTTTCTGGTCAGTCTACAAGAACCAAGTATTGTCATGCAAATTGTTCCAATTTGTGCCCAAAAAGTCCAAAAAATGACCGGTTGAGTAATTTAAAAAAAATTGTTACAACCAAAAAACATGACAAGCAGAGACAGCTCAAGAATCTTCATGAAGCGAATTCCTAGAGAGTAGCAACCAATTACTACCTCAAGAATCTTCATGAAGGCAAATCTTCATCAAAAAGTCCTGGTGATGATAATTATTCAAAAACATCCAATAAGCTAGGGCAATGAATTTTTTCCGAGCAGCTCGTACAGGCCAGCTGACAGTCTTGAGCAATCAAAAACATAGACTGAAAACTTTCTGCAATTAGGTAACAACTAGTTTCAAGGACAAGAAGTCAGGAAAAAAAGAGAAAATTTGTAGTAACATAGCAGGTAAATTCTTATTGCTAGACCTCGTGACTGAAATGGCGGATTGATAGTGTGCAAGCTTCGACAATAAGGATATTTGGCCATTTGAGGCAGCAATATGAAAGAAAAAAGGGCCATCATAAACATTTCTGTCCAAGATACTGGGTTTGCAATTGAATGAGCAATTACTGCTAGCTGTTCTAAACGTTGATAGGTCATTTGTAGGAAATACAGGCCAAAAGTTATGGTGTGAAGAAGCTTCAAAATTCTAACCTCTGTTCGTGAAGCTATTCTTCTATCAATCCTACAAAAACAAAGCGTAGAACAGAATATGAACAGAGATACAGTAAAACATGAAAGCACGAAATGGGATAGGTGCTTGAAGTCATTCTAATTGATAGTTACAAGAGTGTTTTGTTGTAAGGAGTAAATGAGGAGCAACAATGTTTTGGACCTGATAAGAAATGCTAATGCTGTAACTTTGAAAGATAATAAATGGGACGATAAAAAGGGAGAAGAGAAAATTGTGAAGAATAAACATTGGGACTTTTTAGGTTTTCTCACGAGAAGGTTAATTAGAGGGGGAGGTGAAGAGAAGGGGAGATTGATTGTAAAGCAAATTAAGAAAGTTGGTAAGAGGCAATCTTACATGATTGAATTTGATCTGAAGATGAGTGATTATTAATCGGTTATGTCTAGGTATTGAATGTGAGAAACTTTGGACCTGATAGGGTGTTAATTGTTAACAATTTTATTGTTAATTTCTCCCATTTATCCTTACCAAATATTGTTTTGAAGTGTTAATATATATATTTATATTTGATATTTGGACCGATCTACAGGAAGATGACTGAAAAGTGCTAAAAAGGGGGACCTGTTGGAGAAAATTGCTCCACACGTGGGAGACTCCTAAAAGCTTCATGGACCCTGGCCCACATGGTGCTACAGACGGATTGCATTTCCTTTGCTGATTAGAAAAGTTGCTACTAGGAGTTTTCCTATGAAGAGGAAACTAAAAACAAGGACTTCGACAGAGCCGCACCTCTTGTACTTCCTTTTACTTTCAATTTTGGCGAGGACCACTGGAGAATTAGTCAATTTGTTTTAGAAGCAAACGTACAGGGGCTTGGGTCTTGGTTTTAGCGATAGTTTTAGTTTTCTTTCCTGTTCCCTTTTCATGCGTACGAACTGCTCGACGATATTCCCTTTTGGAAAACAGCTTTGACTTCTTACTTTCTAGTGAAAAACGTGATGCCTTTGCAATCAATTAATTTGCGTGGAGATTTATTTATGCGGCGTGGTTAAACTTTCCATCTAGTCAAGGATTAACGCGATGACGCAGTCCCGAATATCTGTGAGATCGAATTAATTTTCATGTGTTCCTTAATTTGTTAATATTTGCACGTTGTCTATTTGAATTTCTACGGGATTATTTTGTTAATTGAATGTCAAGGGCCCGATATTCAATGCGAGTTATTAATCTCCTGCCAAGTTAGTCAATTAAACCCGTAATTGTTTAAATTGATTAATATTAGTGGCAACTAGCATTTTTATACCCTAGGGGAACGTGCGATCTGATTTAAATAACCCTCGTAGCGTGTTATTGATTAAGGTTATGTTTTTCTATTTCTTAATGCAATTGGGGAATTAATTCCTACGGTCGTACCTAGGAGTATTTTCTAGTTAGTGGTAATCAATGGTCGTACCTTGGTTATCAATAAATTAAGGAAAAATTGGTCGTCAGAGCTCGTCGGCAACTATAACTGACCTGTTAATAAAATTAAGTGAACATTCTTTGCATCACTGATCGGATGAATGGACTGTGTCTGAATAGTTGTATCCTTGGCTAGAATTTATCTATTCTTGATTTAATCCCTGTCTATTTTCGTACTAGTTAATTGCTTGTTTTGGTTGAATTATTTAATTATTTTTAGTTCCATCCCGATAAAACCCCCTGTTGCTAATTGGAATTTTAAAGAAATGAATTACCCCAGTCCATGTGGATTCGACCTTACTTACCGCTATCTACAGAATTTAGCTTTCGTTTGGGCAGGTTTTTATTATTACACAGGCTCGGCACCTGTCAGGACCACTGGGAGTCGGAGCCGCTGCTTTTAGGAGTGCATCTTTCTTTTAATAGAGGAGAACCATCAACCCACAGACGTTTTAGTTTGGTGAGACTTCTCATGGCATCCTCAGAGGGTAGATGTCAAAACTCTTTGAAACGAGTTAACCACAGCAATTCAAGAGCAGCGAAGTTTCCGAACCAATCTGGCAGAGCTTTTATACCTCCAAACTCACTTAGTGAGAGTGATGTCAGAGTGGTCAAGTATTGGATCTGATGTGGCAGTGACTCCATGTGTGGCAACCCAATTAATTCTAAATGACGGAGTGCAGATGATGAAGAGGAGGAGGATATCAATCCAGACCAATCAAACTCATTGTAAATTGAAGAGAAGGGACCATCACCATCATCTAAGAAGGGACCAAATACAAGCTCCTTTGAGCTGGTTAGGAAACCAAATCCTTTGGGCGTCATGCTTGTTTTTAGTTTGAGACAATCAAATAATTCCAGCTCCAAGAGAGAAGGCGTTTGTTACAAATCAAGCGGAAAGGAGATAAGATTGCCGCAAAAAATTACCCGAAGCTTCTGGAGAGAGATACAAGAGTGTAGCATGTCACCTGGCAAATTCGTCATTGTAGTTGTCGCCTTCTCGATTGTAGGCCCACTTAAGTTCCAGCCTAAATAGATTTGCCTTTTCAGATAGTTTTGCTTCCTCAGCTCCTTCTTTACCCTTTACTAGTTCCAGATTGCGTATCTCCAATTTGCCTTTGAGGTTCTTCAAGCTTCCAAACTCTCCAATTCGTCGACCCTTCTCTCGACTCACTTTAAAGAACTCTAGTGTCTGAAGGCAAGTCAGTCATCCCATCTCTAGCGGCATTTGAAATGCTTCATCCCTTGCATAATAGTGGAGATGTCTCAAGCTAATCAAATCGCGCATCCTCTTCGGAAGAACCTTAAGAGCGAAACTATTTAGCCTCAGTGTCTGCAAATTATAAAGTTTGCAAACGGATTCCGGCAAATTTTCATTTGTGGAATCCTCAAAGTTAATGTACCTCAAATGTATCAGTTTGCCAACTGAAATTGGCAGATTCTGATTTTCTTCACCGGACAAATTCAGAACATGCAAAGTCTTCAACTTCATTAGCATATCATCAAATAAGCTACCCTCACTTAGAAACAATGTATGAAGCAAATTTGACCGACACTCAAAAAGATTTATTGTGCCTTCTCCAAATGAGTCTATTACAAGACAATGAACCTGATTACTATTGTCTTCTGAACCAGTCTCCGAATTAATGACTTTAGTAGACTTTGACATTATTGATTTTGAGACGTCGTGCACCATATCATGCATTTTATAATACCTTCTCCGATATTTTCTTATTTCTTCCAGCAAAGAACTCTGTAATAAAATTTCCAAATAATATTCTCCAATTTCTTCCATTGTTTTGTTTACCATTGTTTTGTTCTTGAGATCTACTTGAAGGAAGCCTTCTGCCATCCAAAGTTCGATTAGCATATCTCTTTTCATCTCAGTATCCTTAGGAAACATAGAACAATATGCTAAACATTTCTTAATGGCCGGTGATGGTAAACAATCAAAACTCAATTTAAGTATTTCCATGACTCTGTCTTCATCTCCGCTCAAATTTGAAAGCTTATTCATCAAAATCAATTTCCACCCCTCTTTTCTCTTCATGCGCAATAAACCTCCCATTGCACTTGCAGCTAGCGGTAGGCCACCACATTTTTTTATAATTTCCTTTTTCATGACTTGCAATTTTTCGGGAATTTCTCCACCTGCATTGGCTTTCTCTGTTAGAATAGACCAACAATCATCATCAGATAGCTTTCCTAACACATAAGGATCATGTGTAGCCAAAATGGATGCAGTTTGTTGTTTACGAGTAGTCACAACACACCAATTTCCATTAGTTGCATTCAGCCCCCGTAACGAATGTAAAAAGTCATCCCAATAGATATGGCTTTCGGTCCAGACATCATCAAGAACAAGAAGATATTTTTTTTCCCACAAGTTGTTCCCGAATTTTCCGGACGATGACATCCCTGCTGGTCATTTCATCATTTCTTTGCGTGAGTGATTCTAAAATCATTTTCAAAAGCCTGGTCACTTCAAAATTGTCGGACATGCAAACCCAAATTTTTTTCTCAAAATGGCTATCAACTTGACGATTGTTGTATATAGATTGAGCTAAAGTTGTCTTTCCCAATCCGCCCATCCCAAGGATGGGAATTACAGAAACGGCTTTTTCTGACAAGCTTAGCAAGGTCTCCACCAGCCTTGTTTCATCCTTAGCTCTTCCTACAACATAATGGCCAGCAATAGAATCCGTCTCTCTGTTTAGAGTGACTTTAGCAGTAGACAGTAGTAGAAGCGGGGAAAGTTGCCCTTCTGATCAGTCCAAAATCATTGGCTTCTTTATTGATCTTATTCAACTTCTTGTTGATGTCGCTGATCTTAGAGGCCATTCTCCATCGGAAAACGATATTAATGTCAGAGGACAGGATGAAGGAGCGTACCTTGCCCACGAGTTGGCAATGAAGAGCTTCATAATTCTGCTCGTCCAACAAATTCTCAGCATCAAACGCCACGGCTTCCAGCCTCTGGAGCCACAGTTGCACGGCCTGGTCATGCGTTTGCTTTTCCTCAGCATCAGCCAAGACAGCTTGGATCATGGCAACGGATCCTCTCAGGGTCTCCAAATCCTTCTTGAATTGGAATAACTTGCCAATCCTTTCATTGGCAAGGACAAGTGTCTTCTCCAGTGCCACCTTTATTGTGGAAGTAATAAGTGCATCAGCCATTCTTTTTGTTCCTTGGGCGAGTCTTCAGATCAGGATACTCTTTTGCAGCGGTTGGTTTTAGCTGTAGCTAGAAGCTGAAAGGAACTGCGCTTTACTCAAACGCAAGTTACAAGACTTACGAAGATTTTTTGATGCTGCGCTTCTTTGACAAGCTGGATCGGATGCTTTTGCAACGGAAGTTGCTTGGCATTTTCAGTTGAAAATAAAACATAGTCATTGCTGGGATTCTGCATCTGCTTTTGTTCCACATTCCACATGCTTGGGGCCCCTGGTCGTGGAAAATTCCACCCAAGAAGGACAAGAAACTGTGCTGAAAAATGAAAGGTCCAAAATAATTTTTTATAAGGGAGAAAAAATTGAGACTCCGACAAATCTCACTAGTTAATTCTTGGGACTCAAACATAGTATTAATTTCATCTAAATTGCTAATCCTTGGGGATCAGATTTAAAACATATACAAGTACACCTTTCGTTGGCTTTTTGCAAGGGATTACGCTAACACTAACTGTGGCTTAAAATCCTTGAATTTATTTACGGTCCAAAGACTTCAAAGTTCTGAACTTTTTTGCTTTTCCGCAAGTGTAGAAGTGTTGCAGCAGTACATCTTTGAGAAACTGGGATCCCATTAATTGCAATAGAAGTTTGGTTGGCAATTTCATTGGGCCTTGTTAATCAATGCTTAGCTGAGGTTTTCATCTGTTTCTGATTGAAGAACGCCAGCTGGGGCCTTCGGTTGTGGAAAATACCTGAAATTTGAAGTCGAATCAGTAAGCAGAAACGATGTAAATTGTCCAGCAACTGGATGCTCTTCTTAGCTCTTTACATTTGTGAAATTGTCAAAATAGTCCCTCATATTTCCAAAAGTTTTCTAGCTCTTTGAACTTACAAAGAAGGAATTAAGAACTCACATTTTGACGCAAAATGTCTTGTTTATGTCCCATATAAGAAATTTAACTGGTGAAAATTTGAGCAGTTTCTTTATTATATATTATTATTTTTTGGTGTACAATATACAATGGACTGGAATTAGAAGTGGAATAGACCTTTTATCTTATGCTACATTTATACACTTTCGTTGAATTTAGATGTTTCAAAAGGAGGAAATGAGCATGTTTTTGTTGATTTTGATTTTTATCCTTGAATTATTTGCCTGTGATATGAGCACAAGTTTTACTTAAATGGGTTGTAATAATAGAAAATTGTCTAAACCCGAAAGAAGACTTTGGAAGGTGTTTAATTGAAAATCTGTGATTGTAAGCGTTACATCTAATTCAAATTAATGTTGCAAATGTGTACGAGTCACAAAATGGTTTGGTGTGCTAGCAGACAAAAGGGTACATCTAAGGTTATTGGAACAAGTTTTGCGTTAAGTGGGAGATTTGTAAACCAATTCAGAGTAAACGAATGATGTTGAGGAAAAAATTATATCAGCCGCCATACAATCACAAAAGCTATGATACATTTGTTAAAACAAGAAATATTTATTAATTTGGTGCAGTCTAATTGCAAACCTAGATAAAAATATACATGAATGATCCGAAAGGGGAAAGGTATCATTTTACTCAAATAAAAGTGTGATCGGGTAGAGGATAAGTTAAATAAAAAAAATTAGACTAACAATGTAATATTTTTTGTAACTTGATATAATGCATGCGGGACAGAATAGTGGCTGGTAAAATAAAAAAAAAAATTGATTGGAATAAGTATAAACAATTTGTTTCCTTATATTTGTCTAATGATGATAATGATAGAGTGAAAACAGTGCATGCAAAGACGAAGGTGATACCAATGATAAGTATGGCGAGTTGAGATGGATAACGCGCAATTACTTCTTGCAATTGATGACCATGCAATCTATATCCTAGATTAGGTAAATTTGAAATTGGATGAATAGAATTGATTAGCACACAAAACTTTTAATGAATGAAACATTTATTGTGCTTTTGTATATTGTTATTTTTGTCTCCATTTAATATCTTAGTGTATACACGTCTATTTTTGTCTCCATTATGACACTATATATCTGTAGATGACATGAAAGTTCCATGGAATTTCCAGTTCACCTTTCCTACTTAATGCTTCGCTGAGGTGCCTACTCTTAAACTGCTGGGGCATTCTATGTGCAAAAAATCTGAAAAGAATGATGGTCTGACCCAAGAAGCACAAGAAATTATTGTCCTTAACAATTAGATTGTTATTAAAAACAAAAGAGGGAAAATGACAATGATGTTGTGATTTTGGCTACATTATTCATCCCTTTTTTCTAGTTCCAGAGAAACAAAATAAAACCATTTCACTATCTTGGCTCTTTGCAATGCATCGCACCGGGCTTTATCAAATGCTCCATTTTTTGCTAGAATCTGGTGTCCTTTGTGTTGTCCATTTCCCTAGTATTACTTATTTTGCTTCTTGTTTGATTCTATTACACTATACAGCATTGTATGTATATGATGTGGATTGTCATCTTAAGATTCAAGCTTCCAAATTCTGATCAAGTAAATTGGCCACAGATTGGTTGGAATTCTTTGCATTTTTCACTTGTGGAAATAGTTAAAAGAAGAGTCTCTAATATATTTGCGAGTTTTCCATCACCTCAAACTTTCATAAATTTAAATACTCACTGGAAAAATGGACTACGTTACACGTGTCGATATTGAAGTAAAACTCCTCTGTTCAATTTTAAAATAATACTACTTATCTTACTTATAAGCTTACATACTAATAGTAGGACTTGTGATGACAAAAGAAAGGGAAAATGGCAATCATAATTGCAACTCAGGCTACACTTTTCTTTTTTTTAATCTAACCGGCTAATTCTTGGGACACAAGGATAGAACCGACTTCAGCTAAATTAATAATAATTCCTTGACAAACTTGGATGCTATTAATTGCCATAGAAGATGCTTAGCAATTTCACCATGTGGCCTTTCTTAATCAATGCATGAGCTATGTTTTCAGAACCGGACCGGGTATCGACTCGGTCAAGCTCAGGGGTCAGGGGTCAATGGGTTCAATCGGGGTTGAACCGGATGACGTCATAAATAAAAATTATTTAAAAATTAAAATATTATATGTAAAATACCTAATAACATGTTAATATTAATAAAGGTATTTTCATATATATTTGATGTTTCAAATATATTTAACAAGAAAATACAAAGAAATTAGAACAATCAAGTAGCAATTTATATTATTTAATGAGCATTAACAAGTTTAGAATCAAAATTATGGACTTAATTGAAATATAACACCAAACTTTAAGACAACATTGATAAAGTATGAAATATTTGAGGTATATTAATAATTTTTAACAATCTAGGGGTCAAAACATAATATTGAAAAATTTTGAGTTTTTTTTTTAAATGCTTGATTGAACCAGAAAATCCTATTTTTTCCCAGTCAACCCCGATTTTTGACCGGGCTTCACCGGGTTTTTACTTACCCGATTTTTTAGCATAACTCGGACCGATCAAGTGAACGGTTCCTGGTTCGACCGGTCCGGTCCGAGTTTTAAAACACAGTGCATGAGGCATACATCTTGGACAAACTTGGATGCTATCTCCAAATTGCTATGTTTCAACTGCCAAAAAGTTATACATGGAAGTTGACTTTTGACAAAAAAAAAAAAAAAAAAACTGCCAAAAAATAAATGAGAAGGGAAATGACAATCATGGTTGGTGATCAATCATGTAATCTGTTAATCCAGAAATAAATTCAAAAAAATAATAAATTGGTCTTACTAACTATCCTTGAGAATTAGGCTATCAGCATAAGTAATATTTTGTTTGCTTAAAATCTTTTAGAATTTGGTCAAAATCCAGAGACCACAAGGTAATCAATTCCATACTGCTTATCTGGCTTCTTGGTTGGCTGGGTTAGTGCGGAGGAATGTGTATGATGGATGTCCATCTCATTCTCAATAATCAGACTTGGTCATAAATCACGTAATTGGCCGGAAATTGTTTGCATTTTAAATTGTGAAAATTGTTCAAATAATTTCTCATACTTTAGGAAGTTTTCTAAAGCATCAATGAAACTTGAAAGAAGGAATTTAACAACTCATATCTTAGACCGTACTCTTCAATTAGCCTCCTATCCTATTTATAATTAGTTTTCAGACTCAATATGTCTCGTTTATGTTTTATGTACAACATTTAAGTGTTGTCAAATTTGACGAGTTAGTTTAACTAAAGTACAAACTTAAATGTTGGGAAGTTGCTTGGGTTTTTATTGAAAAAATTTCCCAGGTGAATGCTGGGATTCTCTATTTTTTTAAAAAAAATTTCAATCGCTTGTCTGTGTTGTCATCTCAATTACTTAAAACATATTATTGTTTGTTTTGAAATGGCTGTGGTAGTTTGACAAATTTGGATACTTTTGTATTGACATTTTCACTTTAACTTTCTCAACTATTTTGATTGTGGACAATATCTCAATGATTGTTGCATTTATGAAGGAGAATCATTTATGTCCAAGATAAAATTGAACTCATGACCCCTTACTTACAACACCTCCCACCTTATCACTCACACCCAACCCTCCCCCAACTTGAATCATAATTTGGTCTTAATTACTGATCCACAAGAATTGGAATTAGAACACGCATCCTATTTTTTTGGTTCCCTCAAGCGCCGGAGCAAGAATTTTTATCGGATCAATTAATGGTTAGTTTTTGACTAATGAAAATATTCTAAATAAGATAGTGAAATTAAGTAATTTCATATACAATCCAAATAAGATTATGAACTCCATGTTTGTTTGATTAATTTCATTTGCTAATGATTGTACATGCCAGATAATTGATTGTGATTGTAATAAAATTTCTTTGTTAGGGGTCAAAGTTTTCCTTTCTGCACTAACTGTGTTACATTCTGATTCTTGGCCAAATAATCAGGCTTTGTGACTTCAAATTACATATTCATTGACACACAAACACATAAACTCTCCCTGATTATTAATGAGTGACAAATTTCATTTGTAGAGCATATAGTCCATGTTCTACCCATTTCAAACTCTCCATATTATTTTTAGGTCCTAGACAAATATTTTTTTTTTTTTGTTTTTGAAAGAAAGAATTTGAGTGATTTCAACTCTAGTTATCACCACGTGAAACACGTTAGACTTTTGTATTCATTTATTTATTTTTTTACAAAAAAAAAAAAGAGAGGTCCGACTAAGAATAAGGCTAACTAACAAGAAAAAAGCAATGTCAATCGATTTGATTTTGGCCCGAGGAGTGTACATAGCAGTTGAATGTTCACTCAGTAAAATGGTCAGATCCTTGAGAATCTGAAAGTAGAAGCAATGATTCTATTGCTTAAACCTGAAACAATTTTCTGTGCTTAGACATACTTTGGCATAAAGCTTCATTTCTTTTATATAAACTCATTATCTTCCCTTTTCTGGCAAATTAGCAATAAAACTCAACATTTTCTCCGAGAGGCCTTTAGGCATTGGCAATTGTAGCACAAGCAAAGCAATAAGATCTTCAATTCAAGAGTTGCTGATCTGAATCCGCATGAAAAATGAATTGAGATGCTAATTTGAGACGAATGAATGTACTACTGGCTGCATGTAATGCCCTGAATCCAAAATGGCTACCATTTCAATCCATAGAAATATGATGAAGGAAACTGGACTGCAACATGGACTAATAAGAATCAGATATGATAATTCTTGATTGCTTAAGAAAACCTTGTATATTTGGTTATTTGACACAAGGCGTCAATATGCTTCAAATGAAACAGTGAATCCAACAAATAAAGCATGACAAGCTGTGATTAATGGCATACAAACCTGAGTTTATCTTTTTGATTTATTCAGGAAGTTGCTGTTAGTTTCATTAAATTAACAGAGAAGATAGTGAAGAGTGAAGGGCAGAGCCATTCCAAAATTCCAAAGAGACAGAGAGATTATAAAGATGATCAACTAATCATAATCAGCCACATAACCTTCAAGAAGGGCATCATACAGGGAGGCTTGAAAGTAACATTTAGTCCAACATGACGACATTCAACACGAATAGCCAAATATCTGAGGTTTGAGAAATGACAGCAATTGTTGCAGTTAAGAAATAGCAATGAAAGGGGGGACTACACATCCAAAAGAAGGCACAACAATATGATCAGTGTGGAACATATCCTGTGCTAGCAATGAAGGGGGGACTACTTTCTGTACTGATACAGATATAAGAAGATTTACTTGTATTGACCGTCAAAGTCTTAGAGGCATAGAAAAGTAGAAATGCATTCCTTGTAACATATCCTGAGCTAGGAATGAATAGGATTTGCAGCCAAGATGTGTAAGATCCGTGTCACATTGTTGCTTCATGGAACAATATTGACGTACAAGGAGACAAGTTCACATAGAAGTAATTTTACAAATAGATGCTATGTAAAATGTCAGTGTGATGAACTAAGGTTGACCTTATATGTTCCTATATAATCCTGTTCAATTGATTTCCATAGTTTCATCTCTCCAACGTTCCCATCCACCAAGTGGGATCCTTTCTTGAATAGAAATTGGCGCCTTAGCAATTCAGTTTTCTAAACTGCCCTCTGATTTAACATAAATAGAAGGGCTCAAGCTGACTGATTCTTGTGCTCTGAGTCCTGTCTGAGCTTTACAGATACAATAAGCAATGGAAAAGTATCATGGGACACAACCATGTAGTCAACTGCAAAACACTGAGAAAAAATATGTTGCCTGTTATAGAGCTAAGATACAACTTCAAGAAGGATGCAAGCAGCTACCAGGGTTCAGCTAATCCACATCTTTCTGCTGCAAAATACTGGCTACTTTGAACTACAAGCAGCACGGAAGATATGGCAAATTGAGTTCCAAAAGAAGTAAAAGAACACCTCATTAACATGTCTACAAATTGCTGAATGGTTGGACAGTTTAAAGTCACCAGCCGACAAGAAGATCTAAGGCTTTAGCCATCCAAGGCAGAGCGCAAAAGAGAATTCCATCCTGGATGTTTTCATCTGATCTGATTGAAACAGGATCTGGTTCAGTACGGGATCATAGGACTTTTAATAATGTACCAAGGATAGTAAGTAAGAGCTATGAAGGTTTTGAGCGTAAAATCACTGCAAAACTCAAAAACTCAAGAAACTCGAGACAACATGTAGTCAAGAATAAAGCCAACACATAGTTGCATGACATTTTTGTTGTATTTGAAAGTTGAAACACTAAAATAAGAACTTACCATGAAGAGAGGAGCAACCAACAAGTATAGAAGGCGGGATGAGCTTAATAGGCTTCATCACAGCGGATGAAATAATTGCAGCAAGTAGCAGCAGCCAACGAGTATGCTTGACAGCCTTGACTAACTACGGTGATATGCTTCAAAACTTGCAGCTTAGACTTGATTGTGTTAGAAGATACGGCGATATGCTTTAAAACTTGCAGCTTAGACTTGATTGTGTTAGAAGATACTCTAACAAGTCCATGCAGCTTTATTGCATGAACAGACATCTTCTGTGGCTGCTCTAAGAAACATCTACATTAGGAGAAGACTTCTCAAGTTTTAGTTGTAATATAATCAGAATCAAAGTATTTAAAAGTAAAAATTGAGTAGTAAAAGAAGAGTAGTAAATATCTGACCTTACCGGACTCTTAGAACCAAAAACCAGTTTGACAACCAACAGCTTTGGAAACTCCTGAAATCTTTACGCCTAGAAAATCACAACCAAGGAAAAGTGAGACAGAAACCCACCATCTACGAGATTATCGAACAAATCACTAATCAAATGGTTCGAGAAGCTTGCTAAATGCTGTTAGGACTGGCCCAGGAAATAGACAAATAACAAAGACATAATAAAGAAACAGAGACATGAAAAATTTACGCGGTTCGATCAAATCGACCTCCACAAGCGAAGGAGGAGCAAAATTTTACTATAAAGAAGGAAATACAAAAGCCATAGAAAAGTGGTTCCTAGGCCAAAAAAGCACTTACAAAAAGTTTAGGAAATATTCCTAAACTCAAAAAAGAGAGTCCAAAATATTTGACTACAAATGGACTAAATGACCCAAGAAACTAATAGCTCATATAAGGCTCTCTTGAGTGGTGCACTTAATCCTATCATAGGACCTCTATATTTATGGTAAATAAGGAAAGAATTCATTTGGCTTCCGTCAATGTGGGACGAAGCCATATTAACAAATGCATCTTCAAGAGGCGATTAAACTTTGGAGCAACTATTTACTCCCCTAGCAACATAAGTTAGGGAGCTGATCACTTTAGCAATCACATCTTACATCCACTAAAGCAGATATATAAAATCAACAAAACGAGACTCCTAGTGCTTATTTCATATGGATGGGTAACTTGTAGGAAATGCAAAACAAAAATTAATTAATACCAGATATAAAAATCTAATCTAAGTTCATCTAGGGGAGAGACCTCAAAAATCTGCTTGTTAATGCAGAAGGAAGGAGTGCAGTAGAGAATTGCGGGTTTAAAGTCTTATAGAAAAGGTTTGCAGAATTTGCATTTTCAACAGGTGAAACTTCAGGGAGAGCAATCATTTCATCCTCGTGAAATCACAAGTTTAAAGAGACTGCGCTGATTTTAGCAATTACAATGTACAAAGGACTGTAACTGACATACATCATAAACAAAACCAAATACTTAATTCCACCCATATTAGTGGATTTGTTTAGTGCTGGTTCATCCAAAACATTATTCAGTTAACCAAAGAAAATCTTGTTCATTTTGGTCACTGAAAAAAATATGCAACTGAAGCTTTAAATGTAGTACTGAAACATGGATGGTATTGAATTGGATCACCATTTGCCATGTTTGATCTTTGCAACAGCAAATGAGATGCGCTACAATGGGAGAAATACCAATTTGACATTTTAAATTAACCAAAATGATTGTTTAGTTCCGTTAGTTTAGATTGGTATGGAACCATGCATGGCTTATTAGTCATAAAGGTTATGAAATATTGCGCTTATTCATGATAAGAGTTACCTGTAACTTTCAATCGTGATGAAGAGAGAGAGGACCGACTCTGCATCCAACATGGCAGACCTGCTCTGTTATTGCTCCAATTATTACTTGATATAATTTAAGGGAAAGAAAGGACTTTGAAAAGTAAAGGCGGTGATCAGGAGCCATCAGGGTTCCCGACAGAGCTATAAACCCAGAGTCACTGCAAAACAGAAAACTCAGACTCAGGACTTCACATAGCAAATCATGAGGCTAACTCGAAATTGCGTGACATTTTTGTTTAGTCAATTATTCAGAAAGCTAAATCAATATTTGTTTTTGTTGTTCTTTTCTAACGTAAATCTCTGTTCAGTCCGCAAGTACCAGAAGCATCACAAAAACTATATTAGCTTTTGTTCAAAACACTGAAAAAAGAAAAGTTCTATAACAATAATGACTAGCACCCACAAGCAGGAGAGGCAGAGAGTCCCAGAATTGCCATGAAAGCGAACTATTTGAGACTGCAAGATGCAACAAGCAGAGCTAATTACAACTATTTTAACCTTAAAATCTCATATCATTGCATTTGAACTTAAACTTCAGAAGAGGATGGTCTACCAAGTCTCTGCTGCTTGAAAATGTCTTAAACATGACAATTTTTTTAAGGTTTTAGTTAATGTATTGGTTATTAAACTGCTTAAAACCCAATATTAAGTGGTGGAAGAAGATAGTTGGCATTATAAATTATCAGACTACCAATCTCACAACCAAGGGCAGTCAGAGTAACTCGATTGACCATTGGATTTATGTAAAGAGATCACAGCTGAAGAAAGTAGAATCCCATCATTTAAGAAACATAATAAGAATACCAATCATCAGATAATTTGGAGAAAGATGATAAATATATTTCCAGGAGGTGGAAGTTCAGAGCAAGCATTTCCATCCCGGTAGAATCTCAAGTTTAAAGAGAATTAGCTCCTTTCAGCAGTCATGATATACAACTGGAGGTAGCAGACATATGAGCTGTGCAAAAGTAAACTGCTAGTTCTTAGTTAACACAAAGAATATTGTACCGTAGATGTAAATACAAAAGTTTTCAGCTTTGACATTGCTTAACTGTCCACATCAAATAATCTGCTCTTGAATACCTGTATTCCATAATTGAATTTAAAACCTTTGTCCATAATTGCCTACTTATAATTTTCTGTGTTCCGTCAAACTTTGATTTAACAATCTATTTCATAAATGTAAACACATTATCATTCTTTTCTAGCAAATTGATAACCAAATGAACTTTTAGAGTACTTAGTTGGATGAGGAGATTTTAGATTGAAAATTCAAGAAGGCATGTTCGCCTGCTTTAAAATAGAGAGAGGAGCAAATTCCCTGTCATTTTTGAGCTGAGAATCTTACAGAAAGAAAGGGTTTCTTTTTGTTGCCTTTGTTCTAAAACTAATGAGCAGGAAATAAGACTTGATACTAAGTACATCTACCAATCCATTTGAAATAAAATCACTAACCTTACAGTACTTACTTGAAAATTTGTAAGCTTCTCATTCTCGGTCAGTTTCTCTAAAACAATCTCTATCACCGACCAAACCGCCCATGATCATCAGCAGAAATTCATGGTAATGATGGCTCTTGATCTTGAGAGACATTACATAAGTTGGGGAAAGAAACTCTGGCGAGCAGTTTATAGAGGCCAGTTGACGAAGATAGAGCATTTTATCAGGTTTTAGACTCTAGGAAGAAAGAAAAGTGTGCCAGCAGCGTGCTATTCTAATCATATCTGTCCAATTGAAACAGGATTGATTCAACAAAGTTTTCGAAAGTTACAAGCTGGGTAATTCAATCAGTAAGTAAGAGCAATTGCAGATTCTAGTTGACATTTGAGCCTGAGTCGCATTTACAATTACAGTAGTTTGGTTCCAACCACAAAGCAAGTAATTACAACTCATAAAATGAAAATAATAATGGGCAATTTGTAGCGCAGGCAAAGCATTTCACATTGAGGCATTGAGGAACAATTAAAGCTGTGGGCCACTGAGGCACAATAGAGATCCACATTTAATTGCTACCAAAACACCAGTTAGTTCTAACTTCTAACTATGAGCAGTATGCCGGAGATGCAAATTGAGTTCTAAAACATGTAAATCAGCACGTCATTAGCATGACTACAAATCACAGAATCGTTTGGACAGTTTAAAAGAACCATACCCCAATGGATATCTCAGACTTTGGGCATCTGAGGCACAGAGAAAAAGAGAATGCCATCCTAGATGTTGCTATCCAACTGAAGCAGGATCTTGTTCAGTAAGGAATTGTAGGACCTTGAAATAGTAAAGACAGTAAGTAAGAGCAATCGATGAGGTTCCCTGTTAAGCTTTGGCCCTAAAATCGCTGCAAAGCACAAAAACTCAAAATCAAGATGGCGTTCAAAATAGAATAAAGCTAGTGGAAATTTTTAGATAATTGCAGGTTTTCTGTCATTGTGACAAAACCCCCAAAAGGAGAAACTTACCATACAAAAAGAAGCAACCGACAATCATAAAATCAGAGATAGCTTGAAAGCCTCTATCAAGGTGGATTCATTAAGATCAGCAAGTCACAACAAGCAGGCTTGAGTTGAATGTTGGAAGATACTCCACCAAATTTTGTGCAACTTCATTGCTCAAACAGTGCACACCTTCCTTGGCTACCTCAAAAATATCTTCGTGACGACAAGATTTCTTTTGTTTCATACGTAATATATTAGATATTAAAGCAGTTAAAAGTCAAAATTGAGCAGTGAAAGAAGAGAAGCATATCTAAAATTACCAGAATTTTTGAACCAAAACATGAAAGTGATGACTAACAGCTGCGAAAACTCCTCAATTGACCATTGTCTTCATGGCTAAAAAGCCAAAATCAAGGAAAAGTTAGCCAGAAAACCATCATATATGACTCTGATGGAGAAATTACTAGTCAAATAGTTCAGATAAGTATGCAAGTCCATTATCAAGAGGCAAAAGTTCAGTCCCCTTAGAATCACAACTTTAAACAGAGTGAGATGACTTTAGCAATAATAACTTAAAATCCACAGAAGCAAAGCATGTAAAACAGACAAAAATACACTGCTAGTTGTTCTAAACATTGATTGGCTATTTGTAGGAAATGCAGGCCAAAAGTTATTGAGTACTAGCCATGTAGACGGTGCTGAAGAAGCTTCAAAATTCTGACCCCTGTTCGTGAAGCTATTCTTCTATCAATCCTATAAAAACAAAGCATAGAACAGAATATGAACAGAGATACAGTAAAATAGGATAGGTGCTTGGTGTCATTCTAATTGATGGTTACAAGAGTATTATGTTGTAAGGAGTGAATGAGGAGCAACAATATTTTGGACCTTATAAGAAATGCTAATGCTGTAGCTTTGAAAAATAATAAATAGGACGATAAAAAGGGAGAAGAGAAAATTGTGAAAATAACCATGAGGACATTTTAGGTTTTCTCACGAAAAGGTTAATGAGAGAGGGAAGTGAAGAGAAGGGGAGATTGATTGTAAAGCAAATTTAAAAAGTTGGTAAGAGGCAATCTTACATGATTGAATTTGATCCGAAGATGAATGGTTAATAATTAGTTATGACTAGGTCTTGAATATGAGAAACTTTGAACCACTGGGAGTCGGGGCCGCTGCTCTCACGAGTGCATCTTTCTTTTAACAGAGGAGAACCATAAACCCGCAGACGTTTTAGTTTGGTGAGATGTCTCATGGCATCCTCAGAGGGTAGATCTCGAAGCTCTTTGAAATCATATAAATATAGCTCTTCAAGAGCAGCGAAGTTTCCAAACCAATCTGGCAGAGCTTTTATGCCTTCAAAGAAAGCTAGCGTTAGTGACGTGAGAGTGGTCAAGAATTGGATCTGATGTGGCAAGAACTCCATGTGTGGCAACCCAATTAATCCTAGTCCGCGGAGTGCGAATGACGAAGAGGAGGAGGAGTATATCAATCCAGACCAATCAAACTCATAGTAAATTGAAGAATTTTCATGATCATTATCATCATCTGAGAAGGGACCAATTATAAGCTCCCTTAAGCTGGTTAGGAAACCAAATCCTTTGGGCACCATACTTGTTTTCAGTTTGGGACACTCGCATAATACCAGATCCAAGAGAGAAGGCGTTTGTTGCAAATCAAGCGGAAAGGAGATAAGATTGTAGCAAAAATTCACCTGAAGCTTCTGGAGAGAGGTACAAGAGTGTAGCATGTCACCGGGCAGATTCGTCAACCCATGGCACTCAAAAATCTCCAGCTCTTTAAGAGATGTAAAGTTTTGTAGGGGAGGGAGTTCTTTGCATCGGGGGCAGGAATTAAATTTCAAACGCGCTAACTTGGGGAGTGTTGTTGGCAAATCCATTAGCCATCGAGGAAATTGATCGCCCATAAAATACAAGATTAGCAACTGCTCCAAATTTGGGTGGGGTCGAAGGCCATCTAACACATCTTCATCGTTGTAGTCGTCGCCGTCTCGTTCACGGGCCCACTTAAGTACCAGCCCAAATAGATTTGCCTTTTCAGATAGTTTTGCTTCCTCAGCTCCTTCCTTACCCTTTACTAGTTCCAGATTGCGTATCTCCAATTTGCCTTTGAGGTTCTTCAAGCTTCCAAGCTCTCCAATTCGTCGACCCTTCTCTCGACCCACGTTAAAGAACTCTAGCGTCTGAAGGCAAGTCAGCCGTCCCATCTCTAGCGGCATTTGAAATTTTTTATCAAAGGTGTGAAAGTGGAGATGTCTCAAGCTAATCAAATCGCACGTCCCCTTCGGAAGATCTTCAACAGATTCACTTAGCGTCAATGTCTGCAGATTATAAAGCTTGCAAAGGGAGTCTGGCAAAATACTGATTGCAGACCACTTAAGGTTAACGTACCGCAAATGTATCAGTTTGCCAATTGAGACTGGTAGCTCTCGAGTTCTTGTACGAGACAAATTCAAAACATACAAGTTCTTCAACTTCATTAACGTATCACCAGATAAGTCACCAAATACAAGCAATGTATGAAGTGAAGTTGATAGACTCTCCAAAAGTTTTTCTCTGTCTTCTCTGCCACCAAATGAGTCTGTTGCAAGGTAACGAATCTGATTACCATTGTCTACTATACTCGTATCCCTATCAATAATGACTTTGGTAGACTTTGACATTGACTCTGCAAGGTCGTGGACCAGATCATGCATCTTATAACATGTTCCCTGATAATTTCTTGTTTCTTTCAACAACGAACTCTGCAATAAAATTCTCAAATAATTCATTCCAATTTCCTCCATCATCATTTGGCTGTTGAGATCTGCTTGGAGGAAACCTTCTGCCATCCAAAGTTTGATTAGCATATCTCCTTCCATCTCAGTATCCTTAGGAAATATAGAACAATATGCAAAACATTTCTTAATGTATGGAGATGGCAAATTATCAAAACTAAACTTAAGTATTTGCATCACATGATCTCCACCTGTACTCAAACTCAAAAGCCTATTCTTCAAAATTGATTGCCACTCCTCTTTTCTCTTTAAAGACAATAGACCTCCGATTACACTTGCAGCCAATGGTAGACCATCACATCTTTTGATTACTCTCTTTTTAATTGCTTTTAGTTCATCAGTTTCTTCTTCCCCTCCAACTACTTTTTCTTTTAGGATAGACCAACAATGATCATCAGGTAGTTTTCTTAATGGATAGGCTTCATTTTCCATCATCCTTAAACGAGTAGTGACAAGACACCAACTTCCATTGGTTGGATTGAGCCCCTTCAAGGTGGTGAAAAAGTCATCCCACAATGCCTCATCATCATCCCACACATCATCAAGCACTAGGAAATATCTTTTTCCCCCTAGTTGATTCCCAATTTTTCCAACGACGACATTCCTATCATCTACTTCAACCTTTTCTCCCGTCAATTGCACTAATATGAGTTTGAAAAGCTCAACTATTGGAACTTTTTTCGATACACAAACCCAAATCTTTATGTCAAAGTGTTCATCAATTTGCTTGTTGTTGTATACGGATTTAGCCAAAGTTGTTTTGCCTAGACCTCCCATACCAATTATGGGAAGAACAGAAACAACCTTCTCGGACCGGCTCAACATCATCTTCACTATCTTTGATTCATCATCGGCTCTTCCAACCATTGGAGCAACAACAGAGTCGGTCTGCCGATTTCTCGTGTCTCCAGCAGCAGGAGGGAGGGCAGCCGTCACGACTGCCCTGTCAACCAGTCCCAAAAAACGGGCTTGTTGATTTATCTCCTTCAACTTCAGTTTGACGTCCCTGACCTTGGAAGCCATTCTCCCAAAAGCAAGATTAATGTTAGAGAAGGAGAAGAAGCAGCATACCTTGAGCTTGGGTCGGTTTCGGGACTCCACCTGGTGACGAAGAGATTCATAGTGGAGCTCATCCAACACATTCTGAGCATCATAAGCCACCTCCTCGAGACTCTTCAACCATTCTTGCACTGCTTCGTTCTGGTTTTGCTTTGCTTCAGCATCAGCCAAGACAGCATTGATCAGGCGGAGAGAACGTCTCATGCTGGCCACATCCTTCTTGAAGCCAACTAACATACCCATCCTGTCAGAGGCAAGAGATACTGCCGTCTCCAAGGCAACCTGGACAGTGGCACTGATAACAGGGTCGGCCATTTCTTCTTCCGTGGATATACAGCTCTGAGAACAAGATGGTTTTTTTTTTATGGAAGGTTTTTTGCAGCGAGGAACTGGTAGTCTTATCTAGGCTTAGTATAATTGGTTATGAAGAAAGGAGCATTAATAATTTTTGCGCGTAGACGTGGAGTTCTTCACTGACAAATTTGTAGGCTTTTGCATTGGCATGTTTACAGAGTAACTTTCTCAATTATTGTAGTTGTTGGGGCATCATGTTTTCTGATTAAATGGTGGGGCCTTCAGAATTTTTGGTTGTGGACCATATTTGTTTTTGTCCACGATCAAATCGTAAAAAGGAGAGTGAGATTCTGTTTTGGTTACATGCATGTCATCATTGTTAATCCTTGGAAAATGAATTTATGACATACAGTAATTTGGTCTGAATTTTGTTCGGTTTTGGGAAGCGACCACACTCCATTTATCGAAACACTCATACAAAAAACTGTGAGTTATGAAAGGGAAGCAATAATGTTCTCTGTTTGAGATTTTGCTTCCTGGCTTAGTAATCAGGCTTGAGATTTTAAATTACCTTTTGAAATCCCTAGCCTTCTACTCCTCTGTTTAAAATCTGATAGTCTTTAATTCAGATCGGTATTAATCCTTTTTGTTATATTATTTCTTATTACTTTCTTTTTCTAGTTGATTTTGGATCCTTTTTTTATTACTTTTCTAACTTTTTTCTTTAGCTTTTGCTGACGCGTATACTGGTTTCTCCTCAAACTGGGTGTCTCTCGATCTCTTGTGGGAATTCAACGTACTTTAAGAGTCTGTTTGGTTGGAAGTAAAATATTTTCCCAAGGAAAATATTTTTCGTGGAAATAATTTTCAATGAAAATCATTTCTCTTTCATCATTTTCAGGTGTTTGGTTAGCTTATTGAAAATATTTTCTTACTTCATTTTTCTGGTGTTTGTTTAACTTTTGAAATATTTTCACTTTTATCTCTATTTTTACTTTCTATACATTATAACTACATATTTCTTCCCATGCAAAATAAGAAAATTTATCTCATTGTTTAACTTTAAAAAATCTTGGAGAAATGTATATATGAATAAAAATATCTCCTTAAGCAATAAACAAATTGCTGGCCATTTAGTATCAAATATCAATCACATGCAATGCTTATTGTGACATATATCTTGCACTCTCACTGCTGAAAGTTTTTCTAGAAAAGAATGTCCCTATTATACATAATTAATTACTAGTATAGGATGAGAAGGATAAGGTTTTTTTTTTTATTTTGAATATACTAGGGGGAGGGTTGGGTTGGGTGGTACGGGGGAGGGAGTGTAACAAAGAGGTATTGGGTTCGAGTCCTCCTATTTACACTTAAAAAAAAAAGAACATACTATAAGATGTTTTCAGTAAATTTGGAACATACTATAGGCATCCCGCATGCATTTCGGAAAACAACTTCAGTAAGTTTGGAAGGGAAGTTGTTTTCCATAAGATGAGTGAAAATATTTTACATAGGAAAATATTTTCAGTAACTTTTGCGCAACCAAACATGGGAAATTAGGAAAATATTTTCTTGGAAAACATTTTCACCCGAAACAAACGGACCCTAAGATGAATTTCATTTTGCCATTATCAAGTTTGCACTTAAAGAATTAAAGTTCATATGGGTCACACTAATTTCATATCTTTGACATTTATTTATCACAAACCTTAATCCTTCTTTCCTCCAGTGTTTCTTTTCTATATCAACTCTCCTTAATCCCATTATTGTCTCACAGCATAACCCAGAAAGTGCCAGTATATAAGAATTCTTTTGAAGTAATTATTACTAATATATAGTTTCCGTTTCTTGTGGAATGTTCTGAATCTTTCCTAAAGCAACATTTTCCAATTTGAGTTCCAGAATTGTTGCAAAATTTTTGGTTTGCGCATCACTTTTGCACGTAAGAATTCAAAATTTCACCACCAATTAAATAGTTTTCCTCGCAACTTGTCCCATTTGGATTGTTATTTTTAGGAATTTTTTGTAGAAAAATATACTGTAGAGATTTGATGTATATAAGGTAAAAAAATGATTGAGAAATGTATTTACGAAAAAATATACAATTTTTTTTTTGTAACTACTTTCATACAAATAGACTGTCTCACATGTTGTTTGGATAACCAATTTATCCCAAATAATATTTCTCTTGCATCATAAACATATTTTCCAACCCATCTTTTTATATTTCCAACCACCTTTTTATCTCACATACATCACATCACAAAAAGTGCTACAGTAATTATTCCAAATAATATTTCAAATAATACCCTATCCAAACAGTAATTATATATATATTGCTTTACGAACACCCTGTTTGGACAGCGATTTTTTGTAGAAAAATTGCTACGTTTTCCGTAAACACATTTCCCTATCACCTATTTACCTCACATATATCAAATCGCTACATTAATTTTTCTACCGCAAATCTAGAAAAATGCAATCCAAACACCACCTAATTAGTTTCCTTTTCTCATCTATTTCGAATTTCTCCCAACTTATGTTTCCTGGTTGCAAATCTTGCCAAACTTTATAAGATATGTCTTATCAATTTCTTTGATACCTGAAACACAAGAAATTTCTCATTCCTTATGTGTATTCTTGTTTAATTATTTAATTTGATTCCTGAAACACAAGAAATTAGTAAAGAATTTAGATCCAATTTGGTGCAACGCTTCTTTGACAAACTGAATCGGATGCTTCTGCAAGGAAGTTTTTTTTTTTTTATAGCAACAATAACTTTTCCTACAACCTAATCTATTCTATTCTATAGAGAGTGGGAGCCTAATCTATTAGATTCTACAGGGAGAAGAGCCTAAAAAGACTATATAAGAGAGTTGGTATACAGACCTAATTAGATCGTATTTTGACGCTTTCTTTAAATTATTTTCATTATGTAGAGTTCGAACTCCACATTTACAATCCAAAAAAAATTAATCTCTTTTTTGTTACCGCTGAGCCAAATCTCCTTTGTTTGTAGCATAGTAGTTGCCGGGATTCTTCATCTGCCTTTGATCCACATGCCACATGCTTGGGGGGGCCAGCGGATGTGGAAAATTCCACCCAAGAAGGAAAAGAAACCGTATTGAATGATGAAGAAAAGAAAATGCCAATCATCATTGAGACTCAAATAATTGCCATGGAGAAGTTTGCCTGGCAATTTCACTTGGCTTTATTGATCAATGCTTAGCTGGGTGTTTCATCATTTTCTGATTGAAAGCTGGCTGGGCCTTTGGTTGTGGAAAATATCTCAATGTTTTGTCGGAGTTGTGGTTTGACCCAAGACTGACCCCAGCAAACAAAAACAAAAAAAAAAAAAAAAAAGCCTATGTTCAACGATCAAAATGTAAAGGAGAAAGAGGAAATGACAACCATAGCTGGTGACTTTGCAACATTAATTACCTCAGCCATTAATCCTTGGGAAATAGACTAAAAACATTATTTTGTGGGGGAAAAACTTAAAAAATAATCCGTGGTTCACTTATCAAAAACATGGAGTGGAGTTAGCAATCAGGTTTGGCATGTAGCTACATAATTGGCCAATGGTTGGGTGCTTTCTTAGCTTTTACACTTGTGAAATTGCCAAAATAGTCACTCGTAATTCCACAAGCTTTCTAGCACTTTAAAAATTCAGACATTTTGTTTCAAAATGTCTTGTTTATGTACAGCATACAAAATTTAAGTGGTGAAAGTTTAAGGAGTTTCTTTATTACTATTTTTTTTTTGGAGTACAATATATAATCAACTGAAATTAGAAGTGAAATAGACCTTTAGCTCACACTATGATTATTCACTTTGACTAAATTGGGATGTTTTGGGAAGGGGGAAATGAGCATGTTCTTGTGGATTTCAATTTTTACAATTGAATTATTTGCCTATGATATGTTCACAAGTTTAACTTAAATCGAGTTGTGATAATAGAAGATTGTCGAAAGAAGACTTCAAAAGGTGGAAATTGAAAATGAGTGGAAATTGATGGGGAATTAACCGGTTATTTGGATACTTGAGTTTTCCCCATTTTTGTATCCGATTCTTTTATAATTAATTTTTCTCGTCCTAAAAAATTTATCTTTTTAGGTAAATTTGAATTATTTTTTCTTATGGTTCTTCTTTCTTCTAACAATATGATAAATTTGTTTAATTTTTTTTTATCCATATGGACTAACTTAGTGTCAAAAAACTTTAACTATTAACTGATAGATTTATTAATATTGCTGGAAATTGAATATTTGTTGATGCATAAATAAATTGCTAAATTTTTCGTACTTAATTAAGTACGAATATGTAACTATGTTTATGGTTAATATAAAAATTGCAATAATGTAAAAACTATCCATACACAAAAGGGTAGAGAGAAGAGCATTGATATTTGGTCGCTTAAAAGTGCAGAGTTATTCTTAACTTTGATGCCTTCCTTTGCAATGGAAATATATGTTCCTTGCTTGGCATCTTCACTTTAAATTTCTTGGATGCTTTGAAATGCAGAGTTATTCTTGACTTTGATGCCTTCCTTCGCAATGGAAATATATATTCTTTGCTCGGCATCTTCACTTTAAATTTCTTGGATGCTTTGAAATGGAAATTCCTCGCATGGGATTTTCACTTTAACTTTCTTGCTGGGGCCTTCACCTTTATTCGGTTGAGGGCTGACAATTACATTTGCTGTTTGCTTAACATATATTTCATCCATTCGTTAATCCTTGAAAGATGAACTAATTAGAACATAATTTGGTCTTAACGCACACCTTAATCTGTTAGCTAGAGACGTATATTAAGTGAATAGTCAATACAAAAATCTATTAGGCTTCTAATTATTTGTTAATTCAAATTTTGATATTGTTGATGTTGAGCATCGAGCCTTTTCAACTTTGCATAATCAAGGTGGTGCCACATTCTGAGCTGTGGTGAATGAAGTTTGGCAAAGAATAACTTGAAATGTGGATTTGCTTCAAACTTTATATTCTGAAATGAAGTTCGGCAAATAGAGGCCTAAACAATTATTCAGCCTTGCTGATTTAGAAAATTTATCTAAAAAAATCAACCACAGTGCGATGGTGATTTATATAGATTGATTAGCACATAAACAAACAAACTCATGCTTGTAATGCATATAAATGATATTTAACCAAAACATTTGAACTTTTATGCCCTCCTCCATCT